GTAATCACAGTGCAAAAATCTGTAACAAACTGATCGGATTGGTGGAAAAAACATTGTGATGACTACATCAACCAATCAGTTTAAAGCAATTTAGTTAAAGAAATAACGGTCACAGATTGCTTCAAAACAAAACAAACATGGCGCCGTGCTACACAAAGTAAAAGTTGCCATCGCGTGGAAAAAATGGCTTTATCTTTATTTTTTAATGGAAAAGCATTTACCTTAAACAAGACTAACAACAATTACATAGTTGAGTGGAATTTTCAAGCTGTTAGCGTTGTATAATGTGAAATAACAAAGCCAGGAAAAGTTTGTAGGTGGAGTGTTCGCTATAAACGCGTAAGTTGAAACTACAATTGTCTCGAGCATTTTTATGTAAATTATTAATAAGTAATAGCATGGTTTCTCGTGAAATTTGGATAAACATGCACTCGTGAGTTTTATATGACCTCAAATAGCACTCGTCCTTCGGACTCGTGCTAATTTTGAGAATTTTGAAAAACTCACTCGTGCATGACTGCATGTTATATCCAAATTGCACTCGAAACCATGCTATTACCTATACAAATCAGAGAATGTGGTAGGTCGTTTGCAACTTGCCTCAGTCGCTGGCAATAAATCAAAGTCTATCGAAGTATTTAGCGTAATGTTGACTTGATTTTAGTTTGTAACCATTCTTCATTTTCAAAATTTGTACCGAGGTTAGTTTGTACGGAATTTGTCTATTTAACTCTATATAATAATACCGCACTATAGTCACTAGAAACAAACAAAAATGCAACTTAGGCAGTAACTTACACCAGGCAAACACTGCACGATACATTTCAACAGACCGTGTCTCCAACCAGCAATCGAGGCAAATTGCAAAGGACCTACCAATATTCTCTGATTTTGCAATTTAAAGCGTCGTGTAATATAAATTACTGTTTACTATCGGAGCAATATTTCAACGGGTTATGTATTAATGACATGCAATATTAGTAAAGAAGTAGAATAATCATGCACGTGATTTCTAGCAATGGTCGTAATTATATTTACGAGAAAGGTGTCGTTGTTCAGAGCAACTGTGCGAAGAGTCAATCGAGCAGTCAAATACATCCTGAATAATCTCAACAGGAACTATAGTTATAAAATACAGTATGATAAACAATATGTAAAATAAAGCTCAACATTTATTAAAAAAGAAACCTTTTTGCGCGTAGCAACCAATTCAGAAGTGGGAGGAGGAATTTTCACGAGCCGTGAATATATGCAGTACTCCAGTTCATGTTCGATGTGAAAGGTTCTCACTTTTTTTATCTTGAAGCATGACTTACACCTGAAGTCCTGAGCGCGATTGCCAACAACATTTTTAGCTCACACATATACACTGCACGAAAAAGCAAGTTTCCCCATTTTAAAGTACAAATTCTGATCTATGTTGGGAGTTGGAATACGGCTGGAAATTGTACAAGTAAATATCAGTTCAAATTTGAAATTTTCCTACGATACGGTTTCTACCCAGATTTGAAGTGATTATACCATTTTACTTGCTTGAAAAGTAATTTAAACTTTTAATACCTCATTCAAGTTTATAAGCAATATAAATATTTTGTTCTAATTACAATTGATTCCCTGCACAGTAAAATGCCCAACTATTTGTCACGTGTTTTAGTCAAGGATGGGTGACACCAGCTTTTTTGATTCGATACGATGCCAAGTACGATACTATTCATTTTGGTCGATACCAATACCAATAACAATACTTCAATTTAATTTAATTTATGGTGACGTCACAATGATAAAAAGTAAAAAGGCGACGTCGTTACCAAGTTTAATAAAAGTGATCATAACTCATGTCATCTGCTTTTACACCATCTAATAAGGAGAATCAAGGTGAAATTGCGAGTTGATGTATAGCCCTATCATCTTACACATCTGATATATTGCGTACAGTGCAAACAAAGGCCAAAACATATCACGTCAAGTTCAAGTGGTATCGAAACTATCAATACCACTAAAAAGAGTAAGTATAATAACTTTGTTTTCTTAATTAACTATCATCTTAGGCGCATAGAAACAATCGTTTTTGTTGCTACAGAGACAAAAGACCAAACGGGTATACTATTCTGCAGTATCTATGATATACTGTAGGCTACATATATTCATGGCTAGAAATCTGCGACAGCCAGCGGTTCGTAATGCAGGCGCACGCACCGTGAGTACGTCATGTTAATGAACATATTGAAAAGCCGGAAAGTACGTAAAGAAACGCTCTTTAAATGTATATGCCCAATAAAGATATGCTTCCTTCTCGTCGCCAAACACTTCAAACTCCTTTATATTATCCTGTGAAGTTCTCGCTTGTTTTACTAGACTAATGACTTTAAATGACGTTTTAAAACTGTTGGACAATGGACAATAGCTAAATGGTAAGTAAATCATGTCAGTGACATAATTATGTCCAACATTTAATATTTTATGTCACTAGCTGATATTATCTCACCTTTATAGAATATGTATCACGAACAAGAATAAAAAATAACAAGAATAATGAAAAAAAGCAAAATTTCGATGCGCTTGCATCGCGTTTTAGCGTAGTAACAAGGCGATTTTAAAATGGAAAATAGAGGCAAAATATACCATTCTTTCCTCAACTTGGGAACAGTATTGACATAATATCTTTAGATAAAATTGTGATAAAATTCATGGGGAGAACAAAGTGTATCGATTACGATTTATGGAAATCCAATGCTGATGTACGATCAACCTGAAAACTGAAGCGATTATGGGGTTTCGTCGTGAAAATAACCTGGATTACTAGTAAAGTGCGCGTGATTATATCTGCAAATTACTGCAAAATTGTTTTGCTTCGGGAACAAAGCCTGCATCGAATTTTGAACTGAAACGTGAACAAGTACGTAGCTACGACGATTATCATTCAAGATCGATTTATGGAATCGTCATATTTGGTTTGTAGGACCAACAAAAGCCGAAAAGGCAAGTTAACGTAATGCTTTTCTGCATGGTTATTAAACTTATTCACTTAATATTTACATTACAAAGGAGCTAAGCGTGCATGTCGGCCATGTTGTCGCAGATTTATAGCCATGTAACTCAACGATATTACTTTTAAGGCAGCGTGAAAATAAGTGGTTATAAGTTTATGTTGCTGGGCTTGATAATGCCTTCATTGAAGTGTCATATGCTACCGTTGAAAGGTAGCACAGTCGTATTTCGTTCACATATTTTCGAAAATTCGTGTGGGAATTGAAATTTTTGACACCTGTTGGACTGAAGTTGCTTTGAATTTGCAGCTTAATCGCAGAGTGTTTATACTAACGATATCATATATTGCCATCACGTCAGACGGAAAATCACAGCAAACATTGCAGGTGAAAGCAGGCAATAATATTTCGTAATTATTCAAGTTCTAAAACGATGCGGAATATATTGCTGTTGTTATTCATGTTGTATTTTAAGAAAGAAATATCTTAGAATTCTACAATCATGTAGTCAGCAAAATTTGGAATGCGTAGAAGCTTTAGACAATACATATGAACCCATTTCCCACCTAAACAGGGGCAGTGGAACACGATAATTAGGGAATTGGGGGTCTATATTCTCAGAAGTATAAGTGGGACTAAATAAACCCACCCATATATTCACGTATGTGGTAGAACACGGGAGCCCATACTAGTTATTCGCAAGATTAGTTTTCAAAGCAAATGATACTTCAATATTTAAGACAAACTTTCCTTGGGTTTTAAATTTCGGTAACCTATTAGCTCTGATCTTCAACATTCCCAATGAAATCCCCTCAGCTAAAACAATAAGCATGAGAGGAAAAATTAAGGAGAAAATCGAAGGTAGGAACACCAACGGCGTGTCATCATTCTGGGCAAATCAGCTTTCGCAATCTTGCATAACATGATTGGTTATAATTGTCAAAATCAAAACGTTTTCGGTAAATGGACATTCTTTTTTTTTCTTTTTTTTTACATGTTATCTTCAAAGTTCCGTAGATGAGGATGGGGGAGGGGGTGCAGTGCCCTTGTCCATCCTGAAACAAAATTGAAATCATGCTCCACAACGAAACCCACAAAATTTGTTTTTATACGACGTGTAGTGAAATGGCAAAATAAATGTTACATTTTCACTATAAGAAAACGCCTAAAAATTCAACTTGGGGTTGTATTTCGTTTTCATTTTTGATAGGGAGGAAAGAGTTTACACCTTAGTAATTTTCTTTCCACTTTTTTCTAGATTAAAAAAGACAATGCTATTTCACATATATCGAGTACAGTATAAGAAGTCAATTTGCGGACGTTTGCGCTCAGTATTGCAAAAATTGAATTATCAATTTAATTATTAACTAATAAATACATTTAAATGTGACTAGCTTAGTGCAGAATATAAAAAGTCAGAAGATATATTTACACGAATTTCATTCCTAATAGAATTCGATAAAATTTTCTGAGTTAAAGAGAAATAATTTACTATTTCAGTCAATTTGTTAGTAACGTTACTGACTTCACCTTTAGGGAGATTTTAATTTCTCGTACAATTATGTAAAATTATCTCGGAGTTGTTCTGTTATATATATATATACGTGGAAGCAGGGACGCCGGAACGATGTGAAGGCAAGGGGGGCAGATTTTCGTGAAAGGGCACTTTTTAATTGATATATACTAAGAGATGTTTGCAAAGCATCAGAAGTTGAACTTCGCCTAATCATGTTTTCTATTTATTGGATAATAGGGGTGAGAGGGGGTTCTCAGCCAGGCGATTGTGCTATTCTTGAAGCTCAATAACTGCATTTCTTGCGTTTTCTGAAGCAAATTCGCAAAATAATTTCACTAAAATTTCTGACAATTCGCGATTTCTCCAAGGCAATCCTTTAAATTGAAAAGGTGCCCCTTCGCCCCCTTTACCTCTCCTGGTAAAGGGCAACGGGAGCAGCTACTCCTCCTGCCCCCCCCCCCAGTTCTGGTGTCCCTACGCGGGAGCAAATACATTGTGCAGGAGTTGTTTGTATACGTGAATATACAGTAGACTATTGAATATTTGTTCATGAAAATGGCAAATAGCAGATGAAGACAAGCTTTGTTTGCGTTCGTTGTAAGTTATTTAGCTTCAGCATAAATATGATTATTCTCGTCTTTAATAGCACCTATATTGTCGTAAGCGTCTTCTTCGTAAAGATTTGAACGAGACGCCTCGCTCATAGACTGTGGGCTAGTTTCTTCACATTTCACATCGACAAGTGGTTGATAAAAAGGTTCCTCTTCTCTAACATTACTCAAAGTGTTGTATTTTTCTTCTTCAGTCTCGCCAGAAGGGAATCTTTCTTTCATAGAGATTTCGCTGGGTTTATCATTATCATAGTCATTGTCACGTGCAGACGGGTCGCGTTGTATCGTAGTAGCCAATTTTGGTCTTCTTCTCAACAACAGGTAGGCTGTTACGATCAATAAACATACCAACAAAATTAAGACAACTATAAATGGGATTAAAAATTTGGTCGATTCATCGCCATTCCCGTCGTCATTGATCATAATTAACCGCATTCTTATTCCTTTTCTTTTGTAATTCTGCAGTTCGCAAAAATATTCCCCATAATCATCGTCGTCTACCGAATTTATAACAAGCAGGTTTTGAAATATTTTTATATTCCCGTCATTGGTAATAATTTTCCCATCTTTCTTCCATTGGATTGTTTCATTCAGCGAACAAACCAGTACTGCAGATTCGCCGGGTTTTGTGTAGACTTTTCTTGACGAGTAATTGGATCGCAGCTCTAAATATAGAGGTAAAGTAAATATTAGGTTTGGTGTAATTGTGTACAACAAGTTGAATCTCAGAAATTGTAGGCAAAATTAGAATATCCTTGCACAATTAGAATTTCCTGCCGAAAAATATCATACAAAATTATCGCTACTAAGAAAGTGAGATAATATTTTGGAATATAAATCGAAAAATGTGCGGTTTTCAGACCATATATGTCCATATATTTGAACAGAAAAGGAAGCTTCTATTTTCAAAACATATATAACAAGAGATAACTTTTGCTGCAAGTAAAAGTAGTCTTGGGCGGAGCATATACTCGAAGATTTGCAATACAGGTATTGTACAATTTACATATTGCGCACGTGTTCCAATTGTACAAGTTTTACCAATTATATGATTTCCATTTATATTCATAAACTCGTTTTAAAATTTGATTTGCAAAAATGCTGCGGTATTTTTAATGAGAACTTTTCATGCACGGATATTTGTCTCACCAATCTAATGCCCAATATAATATTAGGTGATATTAGGCAATATGTAATATCCGTGGAAGCTTGCGCGCTCTGTATTTAACGACCTTTTGTGAACTGGCTGTATATATAAAAGCCAGGATCCGTGTTGAAAACCGGTATAAAAATTCACTTTTTAATGTGTTCAACTTTTATGTACGTTGCTGTGTTCGAAGAGGGCGTGTGAATTGGTTATTGAGTTGTTGAGTGATATCATGCTGGGGCGACATCGAACCATTGATTCGATGTCCTACGATTTTCGTACTTAGAAATAGCGATTTCGCGTGTTAAATCTATTTTGTCTTCCTCGTGTCCATCTATTGTACGCGAGGACATCGTTTAATTCATTCGTCTGTCGATTTCTAGACTTTCACATTTTCAACATCAATCCGTCGTTCCTCGCAAGGATGTTTTGAGAATATCCATCATAGAAAATCTTCCTGGCCACCTCCATTTGACCAATATGGGTGCCTTAAACTATCCATTTCGCAATATCGATATGATATAGAACATCTCCCTAAATCTAGGACCAATAGGCCTCCCAACCTCACTGACATTGAAATGAGTGACCTTCAATCATTTCGTGCTCGGGACGACATTGTTATCAAAATCGCTGATAACTGGGTGGGGTAATTTGGTATTTTGGAGAGAGAATATATATATTAATGATGCCCACCTACAATTGAGTGGCACCACTTCGCAAAGCAGGGTTAACAGGGATTTGACGTCGTCCACTCATAAAACCACTATTTCTAAGGTCATTCATAGTTTTATCGCTAGAGTGATTTCCCTTAGACTGCTAAACACCACCCCATATTCACCACATCTCGCACACATGTCATAAACGAGGTAGACTCATTGTCTCTGCTTGTGGTTGTCCCACTAAACTCATCTCCAGTTTCCTTGTTCGTGTCATGGTACCCTTGGGTAAGAACTTACCATCTTATGCAAAGGATACCAAAGACGTTCTCAGACACTTTCAGAACATCATTTTCAGGCCACTCAAAAATTGATCTTCAACATGGACGCCAAATCCCTATACGCTGTGATTCCGCATCATGATGCTTCAAGGACCCTCAATTTGTTTCCATATATGGCCCTAACAATGAACCGTCTACTGCTGTTTTTCGTCCAATTGGGCGAGCTAGTGCTCGCCTTAAACAACATTTACTTCAATGGTGAGCATTAACCACAAATAAGTGGTATGGCCATGGGAACCAAATTGGGTTGTTCGTTCTGTTGAAAAAAATATATTCGGACAATACATTGATACCACACATGATTAGCTTGGCAGGTATATAAATGGTTTTGTTAATAACTTACATTTAGCACTCCAGTTAACATGAAATATCAGTTAGATCTGTGTCTCATTATTATACATCTTGGTGTTAATCAATGGTAATAAACGAGATACTTGTGTGTTCTACAAGCCCACTGACTCCCACAGCTGTATTCCGTTATCCTTTTCCAATCCACAACCACACTAAAAGTCCATTACCTTCTATCAGTTCCTACGCCGTGTTTGCAGTGAAAAAGTCTGGAGTGAGACTCTTTTGTCCAATGTTGTTATCCCACGTCTATAATGAGACACTGCCTTTCCGAAGGCCTCCCAAATTACCCAATATGAGACACTTGTATACCATGTGTCAATGTCACGGATAAGAACGAAATTTCCTTAGTATTAACTTATAATTTTTCCGTTTCAAATTTAGATATGTCATTACGAAAAATTTCCATAGTTATTAACTAGGGATCCAAGGATAGCGTAAAGTTTCAAATTAAATCAGACACGGCAAGCACTGAGTAGCGACGCCCACAACGTAGAGCAGTAAGAGCAAGTACAGGCTGAAGCAGGCATAGACTAGTTTAGGCACGTTACAAAAAAATGGGGATTTAGAACAACATTTTTACGAAACAAACAATTATCCTTGTTACTCCCTTCGTAACTCGTTTATTAAATGTTGAATTGAAGAGCTCTTATTCGGGCATGACGACTTTTAGTTTTGTCCACTCATAAAACCACTATTTCTAAGGTCATTCATAGTTTTATCGCTAGAGTGATTTCCCTTAGACTGCTAAACACCACCCCATATTCACCACATCTCGCACACATGTCATAAACGAGGTAGACTCATTGTCTCTGCTTGTGGTTGTCCCACTAAACTCATCTCCAGTTTCCTTGTTCGTGTCATGGTACCCTTGGGTAAGAACTTACCATCTTATACAAAGGATACCAAAGACGTTCTCAGACACTTTCAGAACATTCATTTTCAGGCCACTCAAAAATTGATCTTCAACATGGATGTAAAGAAGATAGGAAAAACATTACGCAATAATTTTCTTTAGTTAAAGTGGAAACATTCCAAAGTGGAAACATTGTTGTTTTGTACGAACGTATGGCGAACGTTTTGAAAGCCAGTGTCTGAACAGTTTTAAGACTTTTAAATCATATTTTTTTGTATATATTTTAAGTATTTTTGTTTATTATCATTAAAAGATAAAAGTCTAACACAATAGACGCCAAATCCCTATACTTTGACTTATTGACTTGACTTTATTAAAAACGGTACTATTTCACCAAGATATTTATAAAAATTAAGACGGGTGATCTTCCAATAGGCCGTATATAGCTATACTAATTACACATATACTACTGTATCTAATAATAATAATTAAATTACACACAAATTACACACTTACAGTTAGACTATTTTTAAATGTAGAGATACTTGTTTTAGCTTTTATGTCAGCAGACAGATTATTCCAATTCTCAGCTCCTCGATAGGCGAAAGACTTTTTCATAAAATTAGTTTTAGGTTTAGGTAATGCAAAATTAAATTCGCTCTGTCTTGTATTGTAATTATGTATTTCATTTGAGGTGATGAAAAGTTCCGTTAAGCAATTTGGTAACATGTTATGTTTGGCTTTGAACATTAGGACGGCTAAATGATGTTTTCTTCTAGTCACGAGATTTGGAAAACCGACCTTGTTCAAAACATCGATTGTACGTGTATCATAGTTTTCACGAGTTATTATTCGAAATGCTCTATTTTGAAGCTTCTGGAGTTTATCAGATAGTACTTTACCCAGACAACCCCAAATCTGTGAGCAATAGTCGAAATGTGGTTGAATTATTGATAAATAAATTTTGATCAGTGTTTGGTAATCTAGAATGTCTCTCAATCTTTTAAGGATACTGAGACCTGAATTAACCTTTTTTGTAATTTGATCAACTTGAGCATTCCATGAGAGTGTTTCGTCAATCATTAAGCCGAGTGATTTGGTCGTTTTGACTCTATTAATTTCTCTGTCTTTTATGAATATATTAGGCGTTATGTTAATATGATTGACTCTTCTATTACTACCTATTATCATGTATTCTGTCTTCGTTTTGTTTAAAGTTAGTTTATTTGCCGACAACCAAACTGCAACGTTTTCTAGATCTTGATTATGTTCCTCAGCAGTTGTATTAACATCATAACCTGCCGTTTCAATTTGGGTATCGTCGGCAAACATATTGACTTTAGTGTGTTCCAGACAATTAGGTAGGTCATTTATGTAAATTAGGAACAAGAGTGGACCAAGAGCCGAACCTTGTGGTATACCCGTTGTCACACATAGAGGGTCAGATAAATGGGCATTCACTTGGCAATATTGTATTTGACCTGTTAAATAGGAGTTGAGCCAGCGTAATGCCGACCCCCTTATGCCATAAATTGCCAACTTACTAAGAAGGATGTCGTGATTAACAGTATCGAATGCTTTTTTTAAATCAAGAAATATCACACCATTAAGTTGGCCAATGTCCATATTCTGATACCATCTATTTGTGATATCGAGCAACGCAGTTAGAGTTGAATGGTTCGGCCTAAAGCCGTGTTGGGAATTTGCTAGTAGATTTTCCTTAATCAAATATTCATAGGTCTGGTTGTGTATTAGCTTTTCCATGATTCTTGCAACAATTGAAATAACGGATATAGGTCTATAATTGGACATGCAGAATTTTTCCCCAGATTTATAAATTGGTGTAACCCTCGCAACTTTCCAGTCAGATGGAAATATGCCAGTGCGGATTGATTGATTAAAAATTAAAGTAAGTGATGGAGCAATAGATGGTGCTGCAATTTTTAAAACTTTAGCCGAAATTTGATCCAGACCGGATGCCTTGGATATAGTTAAGTTAGAAAGCAATCTCAATATTACAGTCTCTGATACCTCTTTAAAGTGCGATAAAGTGTCAGTTGGACATTGAAAATTGGTAAAATATCTGTCGGGAGTTGACGTTGATAAGGGTATATCATTAGATAAATTATCCCCTAATTCAATGAAATATTTGTTAAACTGATTTGGGATATCCGCTTGATCAATAATTTCGTTATTTTCATTTTTAAGCTGTAGTACTTTATTGGCTTTTTTTGACTTGTTAATCACCTCATTGATTATTTTCCATGTTTTCTTAATATCACCTGAATTATTATGTATCTTTTCTTGATAGTGTTGACGCATTGTACTTTTAATCAATCTATTATAATGATTCTTCAATGATTTATAGGCTGCCCAGTCGCCGTCTAAGTTAGATAAAGTTGCCTTTCGTTTAAGATATGCTTTTTGGCGTTTATAATATTTTAACTCACGGGTTAACCAAGGTACACGTTTCTTAGACACTCTACGTTTTTTTAAGGGTGCATGTTTATTGACAATATGAAGAAATTTATTTTTCCAAGTTAACCAAGAAATGTTGGGATCTAAATGGTCTAAATTTAGGCTTGATAATGATTCCAATTCAAAAAGAAAATTGTTTTCATTAAAGTGCTTGAAATCCCGATATTCTACAACTTCCGGGGCTCCCTTGGTTGTATAAAATTTACGAATACCGTAAATTAAGTAGTGGTCACTAATAGTGATAATTTTTACCCCACTAGAAATTATTAAGTCTGGTTTTGTTGTATAAAAGTGATCAATCAAAGTTGCGTTGTCTTTTGTGACTCTTGTAGGTTCATTTATCAATTGCTCGTATTGATAAAGATTAGTGATGAAATTCATCTCAGAGACAAGATGTGAAGGATTGCTACTTAGGATATCCGAATTAACGTCACCTAAAATAATGCTTTCTTTATTTTCATTATCAATCAATTTAAGGCAATTTTCAAATTTATAAAGTGTGTCGATAGGGTCGTTTGGGGCCTATACCATGTGGTAAGTAGAAATGGCTTGCTTTTGTTTTTGGTAATTTCAATTGTTAAGATTTCAATATTAGGATCGTTAAGGTCAGATCTAAGCTGGAAATTAATTGTATCACGTATGAAAAAGCCAACACCACCACCAGATCTATTTCTGTCTTTGGAAACCCAAGTATAACCGGATAGGGATATCAATTCAATTGGTATAGTACTATCCATTCTAGTTTCGTTAATTGCGAGTACGTCAATATCATTATTATGCATTACTAGTCTCAGTTCATCAATATGTTTTAGAAGGCTAGCAATATTTAAGCTTGCCATTTTAAAGCCTCTAATTTTTGGAATTAAAGATTCATTTTCATTTGTATTCTCGCTATAGCTAGTGCTCGTAGAAGTTTGTTCATTTACTCTTGATTCCGATGACTTATCAGATAAATTGTTAATATGGCAAAGATAGTCTAAAATGCATATTTGTGATGAATATAGTCATTTGCGAAAAAAATCAATATAGTTCTTCGCTAGTATTGCTGCTCCTCTATCATTTAGGTGTAAACCAGATGCATTAAGGCTAGAAGTATTTATATCACTATTGGAAATAAGAGACCAGTTATTATTCTTACAAACCTTTGCCAGGAGAACATTCGATTTTTTAACTTTTGTATTCAATTTGTCATCTGCCCTCTGGATGATCTCTGAAATAGCGACTTTTGACAAGCCGTTCACCATGATAGTTCTACACAGTGATTCAACTTCCTTAGCTATCTCCTCGGGCTCTTTATGTTGGATGTCATTTGTTCCAACGTGGATCACGACTAGTTGGGGATTTTTCTCCAGAGTAGGTTTAATATAATGCTTCATGTCCGAAGTAGTTGCTCCAGGAAACGTCTTGACTATAATCTTTTTCCCAGTCGAACGGCGTAATCTTGAAGGACTTAGTTTCTTTAACATCGAGTCTCCTAGGATCGCTATCGGGCCTTCGGTAGACTTTGAGCTTGAGGCATTGTGTTGTTGTGTCGGTTCGACCGAGTATCTTTGCTTTTCCTTTTGGTGTTGTATTCTTCTACCGGAGTTTGTCGAATTTTCTATATGTGTTGAACTAGGGGTGACATTATGATCCATATCTTTGTTTTCATTAGATTCATTAACCGCCAACGAGGAATATTGATTTGGTTCTAAAATTTGGTTGCTCGCTTGATTAATACGTCGCGAAGGTGTTTGGTTCTTTGATTTACCTTGGGTTTTACTTTCTATTCGTGTCCATACTTGAGATTCGTTATTGTTTGATCTAACATTAATATCATCAGACTGGATTAAGCGAATAGCAGTTAGTAAACTGGCTTTTTCATCTCCGGCAACCTTGATTATATTATTTAATTCCGATATTGTGTTTACATGTTCATTGAGGCGATGAATTAGTTCTGCATTGTCCGTCTTTAATTTACAGTTTTCCTCACGTAATCGATCAATTTCTTTTTCCTTCTCGGCATCTGGGTTCCTTTCCAATTTAGTAAATAGAATATCGATATTATTATTGGTTCTCGACTGAAAGTTTTTGAATTGTTGTTCAAAATTGTCTATCTTCGCTTGTAGGGCATCGAGGGTGCTAGGAACCTGCATATGATCGCCTTCATTAGTATTCTTTGTCGAAGATTTGTTTTCGATATTTATTTCCGAATCATTCTGCAGAACCGATTTTATATTTATTGACTCTTTGCGTAGTCTCATGTTAGCCAAAGCTATCAATTTCTCTCTCATTCTTTGACCTTCATCTCCGCTAAATGTTAAGGTTTGTTTCTTGCTGCCATACCACGTCATTTCAAATCGTTTGTCGGTACTTTTAAATCGCCTCGCTTCGCCTCCAGGAGAGGACCATTTACCCTGTTCTCGTAGTTGTAGCATCAAATTCTTAAGCGTTTCTAAGCTGTCTTTCCATAATAAACGCTCACCATTTAGTTGTAGGTATTCCACGTGTTGTAGATCATCACTCGGCATTGCAGTTTGCTCACCTTTGTTGATATTATTGTCGGAAGAAGGATTATTTATACTATTCTCTTGTGTAAATTCGCTTTCACAAAAACTTATAGAGTCGTTATTTTCGCTATTTACAAAATGTAATAAAGAATCAGCCAGATTTTGACTTGGGCTTGAGGAGCTCAAATTGACACGTCGACACGCCATGGTTGCCTCGATGTTTGCCTCGTGTAACTTTACCTGAATGGAAATTGTACCGCTGGATATAAAGATCCCTTCGATCCTGATAATTGCATCTAGATGGAACCTATTGTCTAAATATTTTCTAGGATCAACGGGTTCATCCCCCCTCGGTGGGTAGATTTCCGTTTCATCGTCAATCTTTGCGTACAGGGTTGGAGCGGCACCTTTTCGATAGAGACATTTCATAATATGTTCACCCGACTTTTCGATATGGTTGGCGGATTCCTTTTCCAACAATTCTAAGACCGACACAAACTCGAACTTGTCCCTAAGAGATAGGGAAATGGAGTAGTTTTCCTTACCGAACTTGTTATTCTTACTCACTCCGTAAGATAAACAATCCGTGAGCTCCAATATGAGAGGACCTTGATCGCGTGCCGTTAATTTAATCTTTGTGGACCCGTACCTGTTTACGACGGCATCTTCGAAACCGAACGAGTCTTTGGTAAAGTCCGAGACTTTGGTGATTGACATTTTCCTTTATTGTATTTTTTTTATTCGTATAAATACTTACCGGTTCACTTTTTCCCGATCCCGTGTAAAAACACCCGCCCCCAAAATCTCGCGGAAGTTGTTTTTTTCAAAGAACTTTGTAAAATTCCTTGAAAAGATTTTTGGAAAAGTCACGAGGATGATTTCTTGTAAATCTTGGAAAAAGTCTTGGGGGACGATTTCTTGAAAATCTTGGAAAAGTCCCGGGGATGATTTCTCGGGGGAAAGTTCCCGGGAAAAAATTTGGGAGAAAGTTCCGGGAAAAGTCTTGGGAATGATTTCTCGGGGGTGATCCTGGAAAAGTCTGGGGACGGGGACTGAAGGGGGTTGAGGGGCTGAAGACACTATATTTTGTGTTACATGAAGTCTGCGCTCATAACGGCCTTTTAACACTACTAGCGTTCTCTACGGATATTAAACTGTGCAACAGTTGGATAGTGTGTCGACGTACGAGAACGTCGTCGGTTATCTTATTATTAAAAACATGTAACTTGAACGTATTGCTGAAAATAACGTAAGTAGACAAGTCAATTTCAGAACAGCTGTATTCCTGACAAAGACAAAATTAATCATCAGCCAATGAACCGCCAATGCTGTGAACACATGTTCCTTAAAGACGTATGCGAATGCTGCAATTGCAAAAAGTCTAGATAGCAAACTTAACAATTGAGAAGTGAAAAATACAACCTTGGCTGGCAGTGTGAAATTATGGCTATTTTTATTTGCTCTCGCTGCTTTCTCAAGAGCGGTAATACTCCATGCTAAAGAAAGCAGGGAAATCACGGCTGAGAGCACGGTTAACCATGGAAATCCCACTGACGTAACACGACGTAAATCTGTAGACACCATTGTGGAGTAGACTCTGTAAGTGTCTCTACATAACGTACCCACGCGAGGTTGTCTTGGTTATCGCCGCGCGGTACTGTTCGCAATCTGGACAATCGCATTCTTTATAGTTATCTCCACAAGGGAGGTTATCCCAATGTGTTTGCTTCCAATATTTGAACTCTTGGACATAACGCAAAAATATGGACGAACATACAATAAATGAACAACAAACAATATAACCATTAAGTGTAGTTGTTTCACTTGTTTGAAAGGCAGCATAAACACTGACGATGCTAAGAGGAATGATAATAAAAAATACAGTCAAACCAAACTACCAATATTCGCCTTTAAGCCCATACTGTGCAGCTACAGCGATGCTGTGACCAGGTCAAGTATGACCAACACGAGGCCTGTGATCAGCATGAATAATTCCTTCTTTCCTCTCATGTTGACCTGTCGAATGAAAAAAAATTGCCTTACCATTGGGTATTCTCGTAGGCTCGCGGATGGCGACCATTGGCGACCAACTACTCAACTTTAGACGTTGAGATTAGCTAGAAATCTAGTGTTGCAGATGATAGATACCTATCTCTATTCGGCTTAGAATACAGTTGATGCTAACTGAGTGAAAACGACTGAATGTCTCAGCTTTCCTCAGAAATAATATTACTAATAATTTCTAACATATATATGTATACACCAATAAATATGCAAATATTACAATAATGATAACTAATTAAGCTTAGTGATAGACAAAGAAGTCACTGTTGCACAAAATCATGACTATCATTTAACCCTCCCCCATTGCTCAAAAGGGTCCCAATCCAGAAATGTTCACATTCCAACAGATTACCACAACGCTGATCAATCAGCATAAATTTCTAATATGAATGATCAGCCCCGTGGCAATCCAGGAAGTGATTAACAATACTACAAGTTTTATGCCCACGCTTAATGTGTGACTTGTAGTTCGCAAGGCGGGCCTTAAAATTAATGGTAGAACCAACACCCTGTAAACCACAAGCCAAACATTCGGCAAGATATACCACTCCCTTGGACGTACATGTAAGCGATTTACAGATTTTAAAAACTTTCTTGGTAATGACGGAACGAAAAGTGTGCCCACAAAAAATTCTTACAGCAGTCACAACGCTTAGCTGTACAATTAAAACAACCGAATTGTTCTACTTCAGTATTTTCCTTACCATATGGGCTGGAGGGAGCCAATAACTCCTTTAAATTGGCGTTGCGCTTAAAAGGCACACGAATAACCTTCTCGGGTAGAATATCTCTAGACTTCTCATCACCACAGATAATGGACTTGTGGTGTTTATTTATGATTTTTCGTATGTCTGGTCCACGCGGATTATACTTAGTAACTAAACAACAATATCCTTCATTGGACTTTTTCTTACTTTTGCGTGCATCTTCCCTAGAAATATTACCTACTTCTCTAAATTTATCTAAGACATACTCTTTTTCGTGTCCCCAGTCACTTAAATAATTAGCATATTCCGCACTTTTGGCACGAAAGTCCTCTTCCTTGGAGCATATCCTACGTAGTCTAAGCGCTACATCCTTTGCGATACCCAGTATCTGTGATCTGGGGTGACACGAATTGCCATTCAGATATAAATGCGCATCGGTGGGTTTACTATAAACCGACGTTTCCAAACGACCTTCTTCGATCGTAATAAAGAGGTCCAGAAAACTCAAAGAACTCCCGCCTACTTTCATAATAAATTGTAAATAGGAGTCGAATGAATTAATGCATGTATTGAAAAAACTGTTCAGTCTTTCCACCGTACCACGCCAAAGTGCAAATGTGTCGTCCCGAAAACGAAACCAGGATCGCAATTCAGTGTACAACGCATTAGGTTCTAAAACCTTTTTATCGATGTTCTCGGCCACAATATCTGCATAGGAACAAGAATTTTTAGGTCCCATAGCAGTACCATTCCTTTGAAGCCAAAATTGTCCACGGTAAGTAGAACAATTTTTCTTCAAACAAATTTCTAATGCCTCAATAATGCATTCAACAGGCATATGCAAACTATCCGAGAATTCCGTTAATTTGCAACGCATTCTCTCAACCCCCGTGTTATTATCTATAAAAGGAAACATTCTATAGAAAGAGACAAATTCTCCGTGGGAGTACCACAGCCAGAAGTTATAACTCTAGCTGGGTTGTTGACCTTATGTGTTTTTGTCAAGGGATAATTTACACCTGAGTGAGCATTGGTATTCTCATTAATAAATTCTATCCACTTATCTGATAATCCCCAAGGCTTCCACTTATCTACCCACTTGTCAATTTCTACAATAGTTTTTTGCGAAGGATCCTCGCTTAAAACTTCAAAAGAACTCCGGTCCATCTGTTCCTTAATTCACTTTACTCTGATCTAATTCACTGTTCAAAAACACAAAATTGTTACCTTTATCTTGTATTTGTATAATCGAATTACGTTTCTGCACTGGTGTAGAACGAAATTCTTTCAAAGCCTTTCCTTCGTCCGGTGTTACTTTATCGGAAACATTCTTAAACGCAGTTTCTTTAAACAGATATTTCTCAACACGGTCGACAAAAACTTCAATTGCAGGAACTCCAGCCAATGGAGGGTCTTTAGTCGACTTTCGTCCGGGTGGATTCAAAATGTTTTCGTCGCGTGTCCCTGGTTTATCATGGGAATGAAAGAATGCCCGTCATCTCACCTTCTTTGTAAATTGCAGCCAATTTTGCTGTAAATCATTCCAATCTACACTAACTGGTGTAGGAACAAACAATGGGCCTCTTTTGCAAAGTTCTGCTAATGCTGGATTAATCGGTACCTCGGTAAGATTGATTGGTTGATGTCTCACTTGAGCGGTAGAGTTTGCTGCTGTTGTTGGATTGCAAATGCTGGTGTTGTTTCCAAGCGTAGGTTGAATGTTATCACGAACATACTTTTGTAACCGCTTTCCCTCATTGATATCGTTGAATTTTGAAACCGCTTTCCCTCATTGATGTCGTTGAATTTGGAAAAGCATTGTAAAGTTGTAGTGGATTCCATTTCTTGCCGTGTAAGGGATACTTCGCACATGCTGGGGAAAATTGATAGTCTCAATGAAAAAGGAATTTTAGACGGAGACATGTTGGTGAGTTTTGATATTATCAACATGTTTCCTTCTATAGATAATGACACGGGGGTTGAGAGAGTGCGTTGCAAATTAACGGAATTATCGGATAGTTTGGATATGCCAGTTGAATGCATTATTGAGGCATTAGATATTTGTTTGAAGAAAAATTGTTCTACTTACCGTGGACAATTTTGGCTTCAAAAGAATGGTACTGCTATGGGACCTAAAAATTCTTGTTCCTATGCAGGTATTGTGGCGGAGAACATCGATAAAAAGGTTTTAGAATCTAAGGCGTTGTACCCTGAATTCGTTTTCGGGACGACACAATTGCACTTTGGCGTGGTACGGTGGAAAGACTGAACAGTTTTTTCAATACATTAAATTCATTCGACTCCTATTTACAATTTACTATGGAAGAGGAGAAGGAAGAGGAAGAGGACTTTCGTGCCAAAAGTGCGGAATATGCTAATTATTTAATTGAATGCGGACACGAAAAAGAGCATGTCTTAGATAAATTTAGAGAAGTA